CCTTCAGAGAGCAAGTGCTGGCCGACTGGTCACTCCCAAGGGAGAGTGGTTGACAAGTGCCAGCAGGTTGATGTCACTGGGGAAGATCATCTTGTCGATTTCGGGTTTCAGCCTTTGATTATTTCCCAAAGCCACAGGAAATGGAGCATTTTTGGGTAACCCCTTCCCCAACCAAAACGAAACCCATTAAAAATTAAAAGCGATGCAAAGTGGATATATTTGAAAGAAAAAGTGTTTTGTTCAAAGTGACTTTGCTGCCAAGGGGTGCAATTCCCTTTGGGAGTCAGTACTGTGACAAGACCTGGAAGTGTTTTTGAAACTCCCAAGTCTGCCATGTGTTCCCCTGTGCTCCGCCTGCCCTCTCTAGAGTCGGAGAACGACTCTTACTTTACAGATGGAAGAGTGATTTTTGACACCCACGCAGACAGTTGCTTTCTAGCCTATCCAGGACGGTGAGAGTGTGAGCCCATGGGAACGCACACATACACCCACACACTTCAACGCTTTCCAACATGCATGCCACATAGGCACCCCATGTAGCCTTACCATCCCCCCCACCCACCCACCAGTGTCCCATCTCTGGCCACATCACTCCCATAGGATACCTTCGCATGCATCCTTTCATCAACACATGCTCATTTGTGTTGGTGCTTAGCTGCCATCCAACTGGCCCCAACTCCTTGCCACCCCACCAGGGATAAATTGCTGCCCAGCCCGATGACCCCGCAATAGGCTGTGGACTGTTGCAATCCACGGGGTTTTCATTGGCTGATTTTTGGAAGGAGTTTGCCAATTCTTTCTTTCTACTGTGTTTTAAAGCGGCCCTCATGGTGTAGTGGGTTATGCATTGGGGTGCAAGGTCTGCAGTTTGGAACCACCAGCTGCTCCGAGGGAGAAAGAGGAGGCTTTCGACTCCAGTAAAGAGAGTCTTGTCACACACAGGGGCAATTCTACACCATCTTATAGGGTGGCCATGAATCAGCGATGGTGAAGGTCTCCACGTGGCTCCTCCATCTCTCTGAGTGTCTCAACAGCAGGAACGTGAAATAGAAAGAGAGTGTGGCCCACCTCCAGGGACGAAGAGAGGAAGTTCCCAGAATCCTCATGAGAAGGCCACACCCACAAGGAGGCATCATCAACTAGACTCCACCCATAGACCTATTCAAGTTGACATGAAATCCTAAGTAACTTCCACATAGTAGATGCTAACTAAAAGGTCTGTAGTTTGAAGCCACCAGCTGCTCTTTGGGAGAAAGATGAGGCTTTCTGCTCTCATAAAGATTTACACATTTGAAAACTCAAAGGGGACAGTGAACTTGGCTGTTGTTGTTTGGTTTCTCTTAATCAGATTTAATCAGAATCTCCATTAGACCCTTTTAGCATCATACCAACTGACCAGCCACCTCTCACAGTTTCCTGGTAGCTACTACACATGAGCTACACTGGCTGGGAATTGGTCTCCTGCCTAGAAGGTGAAAATTCTACATGGATACAGCAAGGTCTCACATTATCTACATATGAAGTTTTTGTTTTTTAAAAAATGGGGATCTGCGGGGGGAAAGGTGAGCCCCGCTGTCCAGCAATGAATCGTGGATTCTATAGGCACAATTGTATAGTTAAAAAATATATATATATATAAATATATATATATATTTAAAATATATATAAATATAAAATCTATAAA